CAGATCTTGGAAAAATGAGTTTCTTTCTAGGAATGGAATTTATATACTCTAAGAAAGGAATCATCTTACACCAGAAGAAGTATGAACTGGAGCTTCTGAAGAGATTTGAGCTAGCAAATTGCAAGATTGCTATCACACCTGCTGATACGAATCAGAAGTTGGATTCTGATTCTGATGGAGAGGATGTGGATGCTACAACCTTCAAACAGATGGTTGGTTCTCTGAGGTATTTGTGTAATACCAGACCTGATATTTGTTATGCAGTTGGAATGGTCAGTAGATACATGAGCAAACCAAAGTGGTCTCATTACCAAGCTGCTGTCAGGATTCTGAGGTATATAAAAGGAACTCTGAAATATGGAGTGTTATTTCCTTCTGGAGGAAAGATCAAATCAGAACTTTTGAGTTATTCTGATTCTGATTGGTGTGGAGATAGAGTTGACAGAAGAAGTACTTCTGGGTACTTGTTCAAGTTTCTAGGAGGTCCAATTTCTTGGAGTTCCAAGAAACAGCCTGTTGTGGCTTTGTCAACATGTGAAGCTGATTACATTGCATGTGCTGTAGCTGCTTGTCATGCAGTTTGGCTTCTGAATCTGCTGCATGATCTGAAAGTAGAAGTTGAGGAACCTCTGAAGCTGATGATTGATAATAAGTCTGCAATTAATCTTGCAAAGAATCCAGTGCTACATGGAAGAAGAAAGCACATTGAGACGAAGTATCACTTTCTCAGAAGTCAAGTGCAGAAAAGAGTGTTAGAAGTTCTGCACTGTAGCACTCAGAAGCAGCTAGCAGATGTTCTGACAAAGGCGATAAAAACAGACCAATTTCTTCGCCTGAGAGATGAAATTGGTGTTGTTAATTTCTGATAAGTTACTAAATTACGGGATGGTATTAGAGGGTAATTTAGTATTTTCCATATATATAGGATATTATCATTGGGCCCTAGGTGGCATTCTTATCTTTGTTCATTTTGTGTTTAAATAGGTGTACTAGGTTTACATTTATATCAATCCAATTCCTTCAATCATTAGTGGCAGCTTTTAGCATTTATTCCTTTTCTCTCTTCTTCCCCAATTTCATCACCTTGCACTAACACCATCTTTAAACTTTATTTGTGAGGTTTTATAATATAAACCTCTTAAAAAATAGCACATTTCAATAATTTCTATTTTATTTAAAAATTTAATTTACGAATTTAAAAATATAGTTGGATCCCTTTTTATAAGAATTAAATTATTTTTCATTTAGAATTAATATTTAGATAATGCATGTATAGCTAGCACAATTGATGGAAGAACTGGTCTTGTAAGGGATACTAGTCCCACATTTTTAAGGGAGTGCAACAGCATAGTCCCCCTTGATTTCTTTGATAGCAGCAATAGTCGACTTCAAGCAATCACAAGTTGCACGAAATTAAACAATGGTTTTAGTTGCATTAACTAACCCTTTAACGCCCTAACAACATGTTGGAGAAGAAACACCACCGTTCTGAAGATAACGTAGGCAAGGCGCAAGGCTATCGTAAACTTAAACACATGAATCTGCCCCCAAACAACATATGCTATCTTGAAGTTTCCCATGGTAAGAAATTAAGTGATATTGGATAGAGCGAGTGTTAGGTGTGAGTTTGATGCAAGGTGGTAGGGGTTTTATATAGTGATTTTTGAAAAGTATTTTATGGTTTTTGAGTTTGGTTATGGTTAATGTTTGATTTGGGATATGAGCTTTATGTTTAGTCATTAGTTATGATGTAAGGGAGAACCGCTAGACAATTTTTAAATAGACACTTCGAAACTGCTCTTTTTGAATAAGCGGTACCGAGTATATTATTCTATTCTTATGTTACATCACTATTATTATGAAAAAATGTACATTATTTAATACTGATTTTTATAATATAATATTTAGATATTAGCACATAGAGTTCAATGCAAGTTGAAATGGAATAATGAATCTGGTTGAACTTTATATTAATATTTTAAACACATCACGTTAGTATACAGAATAAACAAAGGCACACGTATATAATAGATATGTAAAAACTTAGTAAATGTGTTAAATATAGGAGAAAACTTGCTCTATCATAAATGCTATAACTATCCACTTTCTTTATTCTCTTTCACACTAACATATAGCAATTTCATACATTATTTTTGTTAAAGATTCAACATTCATAACTTTTCACATCACTTGATACTACAAAAAAATATATAATATAATAAGAAGAAATACTGTTATTTTTTATATACTAAAATGTCATCACAACATTCAATGTATAAACATTATAAATAGATATTTTTATTTGTCTTCATTTGAAATCAAATATAAAAGTAAATAATTTTCTCATGCATACAACCACCTTTTGTCTATTCCATATTATTGATCAAATTTAGTACAATTTATTTTTCTCTATCTAAGTACTTTGTTTATTTTAAAAATCTAAATATAAAATAATTTAGCTTTGTGCAAATAAATACATCATAACTTTTACTCAAATAGTATAAAAACTCTTATTGCTACTACAATTAATATGTGGCATGATTAATTTGGATATGAGGAGTGATTAATAGTTTTGATAATTTAACATAAAATATTTTATTTTAATTATACACCAAAATAAAATTAAACCAGAATAATTTCTATTTAAACTTTATTTGTGAGGTTTTATTATAAAAACCTCTTAAAAATAGCACATTTTAATAATTTATATTTATTTAAAAAATTAATATACTAATTTAAAAAAATAGGTTGATCCCTTTTTAATAATTAAATTATTTTTCATTTAGAATTAATATTTAGATAATGCATGTATAGCTAGCACAATTGATGGAAGAACTGATCTTGTAAGGGATACTAGTTCCTCATTTTTAAGGGAGTACAACAACATAGTCCCCCTTGATTCCTTTGAAAGCTACAATAGCCTACTTCAAGCAATCACAAGTTGCACGGAATTCAACAATGGTTTTAGCTGCAGCAGCATAGTCCACATTGATTGCTTTCATAGCAGCAGTAGTCGACTTCGAGCAATTACAAGTTGCATGACAGTCAATAATGGTTTTAGCCGCATTAACTAACCCTTTAATGCTCTAACAACAACTTGGCAAAACAACACCACTGTTTTGAAGATGACATAGACAAGACGCAACACTATTATAAACTTGTACACATAATCTGCACCATAACAACATATACTTTGTTGAAGTTTCCCATGGTAAGAAATTATGTGATAAAAAGGATAAAAAGTTTATTTAAAGTTTTTTTACCAAAATAACACTCATGTTTTTTTTTATTGGTTTGTTATCATATTAAAGTATAATTTTGTAATGTCTTTATTCATTTCTTCTCTCAAAAACCTTTAAGAGTAGATAAGGTAATTGCAACTCTTAGTAGCCCTAACCAATTTATTTTTGCTTACCAATCACTCCCTCAAAAGAAACACACGACTGGATTTAAATGTATCCAAATAAGACCCCTTATTATCTCACTTAAATGATTTATATATAATTATGTTCTATTCCTTTGTCTTCTGTAAAAAAAAGTAGTTTAAATCACTTATAATAAAGTGTTTTTGATTATATAATTTGAAATTTAATTAAATAAAAAATAAAAAGTATAATCATGTAATAATTAAATTTTTTGATCATATCATAATTATGAATTCAAAAAATTAGCAATATATAATCATGTAGTAATTTTCTTTTTTGATCATATCATAATTATGAATTATTCATAAACTCATTCAATTTTAATATAGTTGAATTTATAAAATCCTTATGAACTATGCAATCTTATGGCATGATACAATTTATTAGATATATGTGAAAATGCTAATATGATAATTATTAGTCTCTATTTTTTTATAACTATCACTTTAAAGACTTATACGCACTATATTTTATAATTCAATGTTTTTTATATGCTAATTTTGGCATAAGAAATACAAAAAATATTTTAAGATAAATCATACATAAATATTTTAAATTATTTCTATAAATTACAATAATTAATAATATTATTAAATAAAATTCAACCGTGCAATAGGCTTACGATCCTTTATTTTCTCAAAAGTATGTGAAAGAGAGTAAGGTAAAAAATAAATAATTCTTTTGAGTAACTAAATTTAAGCATAATCATTTTTTTAATTATAAATAAACAACAACAAACCACATATTTTATTAATATTTTAAACACATCACATCAGTATACAGAATAAACAAAGAGACACATATATAATAGATATATAAAAACATAGTGATAGTCTTAAATATAAAAGAAAAGTACATCTATCATAAATGTTAGAACTATCCTCTTTCTTTATTCTCTTTCACAGAAGCATATTGCAATACCATATGTTATTTTTGTTGAAGATTAAACATTCATAACATTTCACATCACTTGATACTGCAAAAAAAAAGAAAAGAATAAATACTGTTATTTTTTATATACTAAAAAGTCAACACAACATTCAATGTATAAACATTATAAATAGATATTTTTATTTGTCTTCATTTGAAATCACATATAAAAGTTAATAATTTTCTCATACATGCAACCACTTTTTATCTATTCCATATTATTGATCAAAGTTAGTATTGTCTTTTTTTCTCTATCTAAATACTTTGTTTATTTTAAGAATCTAAATATAAAATAATTTATTTTTGTGAAAATAAATACATCATAACTTTTACTCAAAAAGTATGAAACTTCTATTGTTACTTTTGATAATATGTGGCACAATTAAATTGGATATGAGGATTGATTAATATATTTAATAAATTAACATAAAATATTTTATTTTAATTATACACCAAAATAAAACTTAACCAGAATAGTATGGATCCATCTTTAAACTTTATTTGTGAGGCTTTATAATATAAACCTCTTGAAAAATAACACATTTCAATAATTTCTATTTATTAAGAAATTTAATTTATGAATTCTAAAAAGTAGTTGAATTCCTTTTTATAAGATTTAAATTATTTTCCATTTACAATTAATATTTAGATAATGCATGTATACCTAGCATAGTTGATGGAAGAAATGATGTTGTAAGGGATATTATTCCCATATTTTCCAAGGAGTGCAGCAACATAGTCCGCCTTGATTCCATTGATAGCAGCAGTAGCGGACATCAAGCAATCACAATTTGCACGGAGGTCAACAATGGTTTTTGCCGCATTAACTAACCCTTTAACGCCATAACAACAGCTTGGCGAAAGAACAACATCTTTCTGAAGATAACGTAGGCAAGGCGCAAGGTTATTGTAAAGTTGTACACATGAAACTATACCATCATTTTATGCATACATTAAAGTCACGCCAATTATAACAACACATGCTATCTTGAAGTTTCCCATGGTAAGAAATTGAGTTATATTGGATAGAGTGAATGTTAGGTGTGAGTTTGATGCAAGGTGGTAGGGATTTATATAGTGATTTTTGAAAAGTATTTTTAAGGTTTTTGAGTTTAGTTGTGGTTAATGTTTGATTTACGAAATGAGCTTTATGTTTAGTCTTTAGTTATGATGTTAGGGAGAACCTCTAGACAATTTTTAAATAGACACTTCGATAGTTGATTAGATACAGGAAGGTGTTAGGCACCCTTTACCTCCCTTGTACTCAAGGAAATCCCTTTTAAAATTTTATTTAGAGTGAATACTTCTTTATTTTACTCCTTGTTCGTTTATGCCATTTATTCTATCATATATCATATTGAAGAAAGAGAAAAGGGAAAATCGGTTTTTTTAGTTATTGGAATCGCCTTGATTTTTCAATTGTGTGCCTTCGTATCTTCTTAAGAAGAAATTAGAGTCCTTCATACTTTGAAGTTATTTGGCTATTATTTTTTATAGAACCGTGTTAAATTGCTTTTGAATGGTTTTGAACTTGCCTGAGTTAGAAAATTGAGTGATGGTAGGCGGACTTTTCATAGCAGCAGTAGTCGACTTCGAGCAATTACAAGTTGCATGACAGTCAATAATGGTTTTAGCCGCATTAACTAACCCTTTAATGCTCTAACAACAACTTGGCAAAACAACACCACTGTTTTGAAGATGACATAGACAAGACGCAACACTATTATAAACTTGTACACATAATCTGCACCATAACAACATATACTTTGTTGAAGTTTCCCATGGTAAGAAATTATGTGATAAAAAGGATAAAAAGTTTATTTAAAGTTTTTTTACCAAAATAACACTCATGTTTTTTTTTATTGGTTTGTTATCATATTAAAGTATAATTTTGTAATGTCTTTATTCATTTCTTCTCTCAAAAACCTTTAAGAGTAGATAAGGTAATTGCAACTCTTAGTAGCCCTAACCAATTTATTTTTGCTTACCAATCACTCCCTCAAAAGAAACACACGACTGGATTTAAATGTATCCAAATAAGACCCCTTATTATCTCACTTAAATGATTTATATATAATTATGTTCTATTCCTTTGTCTTCTGTAAAAAAAAGTAGTTTAAATCACTTATAATAAAGTGTTTTTGATTATATAATTTGAAATTTAATTAAATAAAAAATAAAAAGTATAATCATGTAATAATTAAATTTTTTGATCATATCATAATTATGAATTCAAAAAATTAGCAATATATAATCATGTAGTAATTTTCTTTTTTGATCATATCATAATTATGAATTATTCATAAACTCATTCAATTTTAATATAGTTGAATTTATAAAATCCTTATGAACTATGAAATCTTATGGCATGATACAATTTATTAGATATATGTGAAAATGCTAATATGATAATTATTAGTCTCTATTTTTTTATAACTATCACTTTAAAGACTTATACGCACTATATTTTATAATTCAATGTTTTTTATATGCTAATTTTGGCATAAGAAATACAAAAAATATTTTAAGATAAATCATACATAAATATTTTAAATTATTTCTATAAATTACAATAATTAATAATATTTTTAAATAAAATTCAACCGTGCAATAGGCTTACGATCCTTTATTTTCTCAAAAGTATGTGAAAGAGAGTAAGGTAAAAAATAAATAATTCTTTTGAGTAACTAAATATAAGCATAATCATTTTTTTAATTATAAATCAACAACAACAAACCACATATTTTATTAATATTTTAAACACATCACATCAGTATACAGAATAAACAAAGAGACACATATATAATAGATATATAAAAACATAGTGATAGTCTTAAATATAAAAGAAAAGTACATCTATCATAAATGTTAGAACTATCCTCTTTCTTTATTCTCTTTCACAGAAGCATATTGCAATACCATATGTTATTTTTGTTGAAGATTAAACATTCATAACATTTCACATCACTTGATACTGCAAAAAAAAGAAAAGAATAAATACTGTTATTTTTTATATACTAAAAAGTCAACACAACATTCAATGTATAAACATTATAAATAGATATTTTTATTTGTCTTCATTTGAAATCACATATAAAAGTTAATAATTTTCTCATACATGCAACCACTTTTTATCTATTCCATATTATTGATCAAAGTTAGTATTGTCTTTTTTTCTCTATCTAAATACTTTGTTTATTTTAAGAATCTAAATATAAAATAATTTATTTTTGTGAAAATAAATACATCATAACTTTTACTAAAAAAGTATGAAACTTCTATTGTTACTTTTGATAATATGTGGCACAATTAAATTGGATATGAGGATTGATTAATATATTTAATAAATTAACATAAAATATTTTATTTTAATTATACACCAAAATAAAACTTAACCAGAATAGTATGGATCCATCTTTAAACTTTATTTGTGAGGCTTTATAATATAAACCTCTTGAAAAATAACACATTTCAATAATTTCTATTTATTAAGAAATTTAATTTATGAATTCTAAAAAGTAGTTGAATTCCTTTTTATAAGATTTAAATTATTTTCCATTTACAATTAATATTTAGATAATGCATGTATACCTAGCATAGTTGATGGAAGAAATGATGTTGTAAGGGATATTATTCCCATATTTTCCAAGGAGTGCAGCAACATAGTCCGCCTTGATTCCATTGATAGCAGCAGTAGCGGACATCAAGCAATCACAATTTGCACGGAGGTCAACAATGGTTTTTGCCGCATTAACTAACCCTTTAACGCCATAACAACAGCTTGGCGAAAGAACAACATCTTTCTGAAGATAACGTAGGCAAGGCGCAAGGTTATTGTAAAGTTGTACACATGAAACTATACCATCATTTTATGCATACATTAAAGTCACGCCAATTATAACAACACATGCTATCTTGAAGTTTCCCATGGTAAGAAATTGAGTTATATTGGATAAAGTGAATGTTAGGTGTGAGTTTGATGCAAGGTGGTAGGGATTTATATAGTGATTTTTGAAAAGTATTTTTAAGGTTTTTGAGTTTAGTTGTGGTTAATGTTTGATTTACGAAATGAGCTTTATGTTTAGTCTTTAGTTATGATGTTAGGGAGAACCTCTAGACAATTTTTAAATAGACACTTCGATAGTTGATTAGATACAGGAAGGTGTTAGGCACCCTTTACCTCCCTTGTACTCAAGGAAATCCCTTTTAAAATTTTATTTAGAGTGAATACTTCTTTATTTTACTCCTTGTTCGTTTATGCCATTTATTCTATCATATATCATATTGAAGAAAGAGAAAAGGGAAAATCGGTTTTTTTAGTTATTGGAATCGCCTTGATTTTTCAATTGTGTGCCTTCGTATCTTCTTAAGAAGAAATTAGAGTCCTTCATACTTTGAAGTTATTTGGCTATTATTTTTTATAGAACCGTGTTAAATTGCTTTTGAATGGTTTTGAACTTGCCTGAGTTAGAAAATTGAGTGATGGTAGGCGGACTTTTTATATCCACGTAGACAGGAACTGGAAAATCATTTATTGAAAAAATGTGTTGGGTTTGGTTATGTTAGTAAGAAAAAGGTTTTTTATTGGTTAGCTTCTTTAAGTCTACTTGATTGATAAAGAGTTGATATTTATTAGAATTAGATCGCCCTGGGCGAAGAAATTGATTTTGGTTGATGATGTTAATCTTTACCATAATTAAGTCACGTGGGACGAAGAAATTTGACTTATGTATCGTTTAGGTAATTACAAAGCCGTGATGCTAATTTTGGCATTAAGATCGAGAAGCCCTAAAGTTATGCATATAAATGATTATTTTCAGTAATTTTTTTAATTAGCCATTTATGTACAAGTTAACAATTTAATCAACTAACTAGTTTAATTAATTTAGTTTTTGCTACCAAATAAATTATTTAAAAGACTAGAAAATCTAATCAACTTAATAACCTAATTATTTTAGTGAAACTGATTACATACAATGAGATTAATTTTTTTTATTGTTTACGTATAATGATCAAATTGATTCATAAAAATAAAATTTTAAATTAATTAGATACATTATGTGAGTACAATGACATATTATGGGTGTATAAGTTAATAAAACATTATTAGTTCAGGCCCAATAATTAAAAAACCCTAATTAATTTAAAACTAACAAAGATAAAAAAAATCTGAAAATTAAAGTTAACAAAGTGGGGGTGGCGTGGTTCCCCTGGTACTATACTAATTCCAAAATTTAAGAAATATAAAAACAACATGACCATTTCAAACCTTTTCCAATCCACCACTTATAATATGACATGTGAAATTGAAATTAATTAAAACCAAAGAGAGAGGGTTTGGTGTTGTAGATCTAGCGTGTGCGGATGACGAATCAGAGGGACAGACGCCGTGTGCAGTGCTTCGTTGGTTGAGCGTGGTCGGGAAGTCGTGGTGATGGGTTATCCGCCATGGGTGTGTGGCTAAGATCGTTGTGATTCTGGTGGAGGTTTATGTGTAGCGATTGGGTTATTGTTTTATTTGTGGTTCTTATTTTATTTTAATCTTCTTCCTTTTCTTTTCAACAACATCCTGAAAGCAAGTTCCCAAAAACGACAAAAGGAAGGAAAGAAATAAAACTACACAATTACGACGACAGTGGCGATTGGTTTCTTATGTTTTTTCCTCTACGTTGGTTGTATTGATGCTAACAATGATTATTGTTGATTCCTTTGTTTGAGTTTTGGAAATTGTGTTGATTTGGTGAAGATTGTGAAGTTTGTAAACTTGTGCACAAAATTTTTGTACGAATGAAAATTTCCGGGTTTTGATATATGATTTGGCTTGTGTAATTGTGAAGAGGTTTGGAACTCAGTTTGAAACAATGGTGAACAATTGTTGTTGTTTTGAGATATAAATCTATAGAAAGGTTTATGCAAAAAGTTGTTTGTGATAAAAATACATAATAGATGAAGATGGTTTTGACGGTGTGGTATTTGTGAATTTTAAAACTACACTAAAATATTATAAATTATGTGTTAAGAATTTGTAGAAAAATAATAACAAAGCTTTATGTGGGGATGTTATATATAATAGTTAAAAATAATAAATAGATTTCAAAATAACAGAACCATCAAAAAATTTATCATATGGTTTATACAACAAAAGAATTATAATTAAAACAAATTAAAATTAAAAGAGATGCCTCATATGAAAAGTATTGGTCAAAAATAAAGAAATAGCAAATGGTTTTAAAGAGTTGGCTTTGAAAAGGAATTGTAAAAATATTTTGTGAGGAGTGTGAATTGTGAGAATTTTATAAATTTGTCGATCAATGATCAATAATACTGTGAAAATAATAGTGTATTTATAGGGATAATTAGGTCAACAAAATAAGAAATAAAATTAATTGACAAATCAGATCTTTCTTGGTCAATAAACTGACCAATCAAAGATGAGTATGTCACAAATTGACAAAACATTACCAATAAAAATATAAATAAAAATATTTTAAAAAAATAAAACAAGTAAGACTCAAACTCGTGATCTTATGCTTGCAAGCTATATCTCCTTATAAATTGTGTTGTCCAATTTATTTGAAATGAAAAGGCACTTGAAAACATATGAATGATGGGAAAATATTTTCTATTTAGGAAATAAAAATAATTTAAAGTAAACTATTATATATTTTTAAATGAATGATTTAAAGTTAATTGTCTTAAAATCTCATGATTGTCATGACTTCATGCAACAACTCTACCGGTGGCTATCCATGGCATCTTATCAAAAAATTTAAGAGTAACTATAACAATATATATTGTGCTTATTATTTAATGCTATATGTCATAAAGTTCTTGATTTAAAAAAATTAGATGAAAGAAGACTATGGTGCTATAATCTTATGTCAATTGGAGATGTACTTCCCTTTATCATTTTTTCATATTATGGTTCACTTAATTGTATATCTAGACTAAGAAATTAGATTTTGTGGTCCAGTTTATTTATGGTGCATGTATCCAATAAAGTGATAGATGAAGAACCTTAAAGGAGGTACGGAAAATCATCACCCACCAGAAGCTTAGATGGAGAAAGTTACATCATAGAAGAAGCTTTTAAATTATGTTCAAACTATTGTCAGATGTAGAGTCTATAGGAATTCTAAAGTGTCGTTATGCTGATAGATATAGAGGTATATGTACTAAGGTTTTAAATATTATGTCAATGCCTTAGGATATAGTTCTTCAATCACACTAGTAGATATTGAATAATGATGAACTTCAACCTTACTTATCTACTCACAAAAGATTTATCAAGCAACAATATTCCCGAATAAGTGACAAGTGTTTGTTGAAAGTTCATAACAACAATATCATAAGTTTTCTTAGTGAAAGGATTTCTAATGATGGAAGTGCACCCGATACTCTCAAATGGATGTTATACATTCCAAAATTTAATGTAGTAATTTTGACTGCATACAACATTATTAATTTTTTCTTTTATATAAAATCAAAAGATGACCGTAGTACAACACAAAATAGTGAGATTATGGTTGAGGCATAATCCATGTATTTCTCTAGTTTAAAGAAAAAATCTTATATAGGATTCTGGAGTGTACTTTAGGTTAATTTACAAGATTTGGGAGATTGATTAAGTTTTATTCAAAATGCCTTTACTGAAATGGAAGGGGATTGGCAAAAACATTGGTTTACAGATTAATGAGTTAGGATTCATACTGATTGACATTGGCTAGGAAACTTATAAGAATGAACCATTAATCATAGTTACCCATGCAAAAAAGATGGTTAATTGTTCACCAGTGAAGACACATTCCTCATATTGACTAAAATCATGATTTAAATTATAATATTTCTTCGACTCCTTCTTACACAACATAAGTTCATACTTCATATGAGCAATTTGATAGTGATGATGTGCATGTTCTTTGTAGTGACCAGGAAGAAGGCATATGGAAAAGTATATTGACTAAAATCTTTTATTGTTTATTCATGATTTATTGTATGTTATAATTTCTAAGGTTATATACTAACAAGTATAATTATTTGACATTGAAGGTGTTTAAAGTCAAGACACCAAGAGACAATACATATTCCTTACGTTGTAGATATTATTTGATGTAATTATGTGTAAATTGTATGTGTTTTTTGCCATTTTAGTATTGATGTAATACAATTTTCGATCTTAATAGTTGCCAACTTATGGTATGATTCATAAATGGTTTTTGTTCTTGTTTATGAACTATTTAAGATTAACAAAAATACATGTTAAAATATGTGAATTTTTTAAAATCTAAAAATTATAATAAAAAATAAATAAATAATTTCACTATGGTTGATTTTTTCAACTGTGGTTATATGTAGTGTTCTATCCTAGTTAATAAATGGAAAAAAATGATATTGTTGGTATCGAACCCATGACCTTTTAGTTTTTCAATACAATTTTATTTATTACAACCTACAATTTTGTTTATTACAACCATGGTGACATTTAAAACACTTTTCAATTCATTATCATGCAAGATAAGAGTATTTCTTTTGCATTAAAATGAAATCTTAATAGGTTTCTTTCTAACTCGTATACTTTTCTCAACCAACATTCTAACCACATCCTTTATTTGAGCCCGTAACAATTTAAAAGTTTGAGCTATTTCTCTAAAGGTTGTGTAATTAAGCTGCTTATAAAGGGTGTTGTTTTGTTAATCGCGTCTAT